CTCACATCGAATAAGAATAAATATAACCAATATATAAAAATTTAAGTTACTCTCTTAAAAAGTTTGACCTCTTAAGATAAATCGTCAAATTTAATATAGTATAAAAGTTCATCAAACTCCAATGAGTCATTCAATCTCATAAAGCTCATATTAGCACATAAAATCCAAGAATGATGTACTCAAACGAGTCGTCATTTTGCCCTACAAAATCGTCACGATTAATTGACAATGAGATTTCTAGCGTTCTCTGAAGGTTTACATTGTGAATATGAATAAAAGGAGAAGAAATTGAGAACATCCAGAGCTAGGGTTCCCAAAAATGAAGATAGTTTTGCCAAGACATACAAGGATTTAAAATAGTTCTGAGTAAATGTCTATATTACCCTTAACGAGATAAATAATTATAATACCCATCTAACAATACAAAAATAAAATAAACATAAATACATTAATACTCTTGACGCACAATATTCTTGACAAACCAACTATAATTCATCATTTTTCGACCATGAAATACAAGAATCAAGATGATAACAAATGATGAGAGCTAGATCTCACCAAAACGAAAGACTATTGAGCTGGACACAACTCATTGGCTTAACCATATAGACTGAAAGAACAACGTGTTGTGAATGTGCATTCTAGTTATCAGCTCAATTGGATATCGTAATCTCTGTAGCACGGACACTTCAATCAGGGTAGTGTGTCTGTATCCGACACGTGTCGGATACGAGTCGATACCGACACTTCTCGGACACTCTACTGTAATCATTTTTCTTTTTATATTAGAAATATTATTTATTGTTAATTCAAAATTATTAGCAAGTAACAAATAGGTACTCATGATTAAAAGATTTCAACAAGAAAAATTAATAACAAGTATAAAATTAAATTTGTACTATATNATTCAAAATTATTAGCAAGTAACAAATAGGTACTTATGTTTAAAAGATTTCAACAAGAAAAATCAATAACAAGTATAAAAACTAAATTTATACTATAATAAATGAAGAATTTTTAAGAATTTAATCAACGTGTTGATGACATGTCGTGTTTGTACTTTTTTTAAAAATTGCGTGTCGACGTATCCGACACGTATCATGTCGGACACACGTGTCTGTGTCAGTTCATCATAGATCTTAATAATGACATATTGCAGTCATTTCCCATAGCACAGTGCTATTGCTGATTTTGTTCTTACCTCTTTTTGTATTGAACAGGAAAAAAATATATGAACTTCATAATCAAAGTAACCATTAAACTATGCATAAAGAATTGAGGGTAAAAATCAATACCATGAGACTATACTAAAGGAAGGTCCTCGAGGAATAGTTTAGATTACCATAAACTAACTACCAATTATATCAGCACCATTACTTTGATATTCGAAAGGCATTTTAGTTTTCTTTCTGTTTGCTGCTATTCTCTTTATTCTAGAAAGGGATTCATAATTATTTGGTAGTCGTTTGACATAATTTTCACCTAAGAAGAGCTTGAACTGAATTATGAAGACACTAACACATATGAAGTTCTCTGCATATTTCATTAATTGGCTCCAAGTATACATACAATAATTATCGTGTACAAAATTGAAGGATAACTCAATTCAGAATGCACAAACTAATGAATTCTGATTGACTGGGCCTTGTTGGATGTGGGAAGTTAATGAACAGCTATTAGAGGTCATTGATATCAAAAGTGCTATCTCCATTTCTCTAGCCATATTTCTTCGGATTAAAGAGATTGCATATTCCAAGAAGATCGTGTCAAATGGAAGTGTAATTGGGCCATTGCCTGGTAATCCATACTCTTCTTCAGCCATTTTCAGAAGTTCTTGGAACTATCCGAAGAGTTCTATTCGGTTTCGAAGCACAAACTTTTTCTGATCACAAGTGTATATAGTAAAATGGCCCTTATCAACTGTTGATGATGAGCTCCTTGCATCTTTATCTTCATCTTTTGTGCTTCTTGAAATTGTAATTTTCTTTTGCCTGATAGCTGCGAATTTCTTTTTTATCATTTTTGGATTGATCATTTTTTGGTTAGTATATCTCAAAAGGCCTTATGAACAAGAGAAAGTTATTATAACGGGGGTGAATGTTGAAAATTGCTGTAGGAAGGTAAGGGAAGAGCATTGCTTAATATATGCATGAAGCCTGGGACTATAATTTGGCTGCCATCCATTGTGCTGGCATCCATTGGAAGCAGAAGCATGTGATTGTTGCATAAAAAGGGAATTCATGCCAAAGTTTGGTGGTTGCAAATGAAATACATTTAGAGGCAATTCAATTAATATAATTCCATGTGTCTGTTGGTTCCAATATAATTGGGCCCTGAACCAGTGGCTTATATTCGAAACCTTGCAAACCCCCCCAACCCGTCCATCTCAAAAAAATTCCAATTATCTTTTGGTGACAATAAGCATTATCTAGACATAACTAAACTACGAGATATGTTGCATCTTGGATGCTACATCAATGTTGTAACCAAATTCATTTAAACCACAAATTCTGCCTTGTTAGGCAGCTCAACTGACATGCTGACTTCAAAATGCCTCGACTTTCACCTGCCAAATTAACAATCTTAATGAATCAGGCCACCACTATGCCTCCCGATATTATCACAACAGTGTTGATTCATTCAGATAGAAGAAAAGGACTTGGCCTTTTTTTCTTGTGGCTCTCAGGAATTGGAACTTACAAGATCATTTTGAACATGTGCTTGGACCCAATGTGTCATGAAACAACTTGACATAAGAAATTAAACGGCTCAAATGCAAAAGAAAAATCAAACGGTGCCACCCTCTACTACTCCTCTCTTCCTCAAACTTCACATGGGTTGTACCCATACATGGATCCCCACTTACAAAGCCGCATTTATTGGGTTGTCCCCAGCTTAAAACCTAATCAATATACATAAGTATACCCCTCTCCATTTTTTCAACACAAAACAATATCATTCCA